GAGGCAGCTCAAATATTACTGAGGGTCAGTGACAATACCTGAACCTTGAAGAGCTGCATGAGGCTCTCCCCACAAGTTTTAGTCATTTAATAAAGACAGTCRGGTAGCAATCACACAATGGAATCACTGAATTTGATCCAACCATTAGAAGAGAGACCTGGAAGGGGGAGGACCTGCATTCCAGGCCCTGCTGGTACTCCCCAAACTTCAGCAAATCGAACTTTTCCATGTATCCATTTCTATGTRTGTTAAATAAGGCTAATGGAATTGTTCTTGCTATTATAATTATTATAAATTAATGCATTTTCTGTCAGCTGACCCCATTTTTCAAAGCTTGMACCCAGTGACAACTGAGGTTTTTACATGAATTGTCCTCCCTAAGCAATGGTGAGAGGCAGTTGCTGCGGGGTGACAGGACAGAATCCTTAAAGGATTTTGTCTTTGATTTCCCCCAGTAACTTTCACAAGCACTGAGAATAAAATCTGTGCACGAAGCTGGAGCGCTGCAGGCACACTGGGCTTGCAGAGCTTCTCCTCCTCTTGGACAAAGGCAACATCTTCCCTCGCCCGCCGTCACCTCCCATTAATGTCAGGAAAGTTCACTTGCTGCAGCTTTTGGAAGTGCAAAGCTAATATGCTCGTGAGGAGGGAAATKAGGCCATTTATTTGTCTAATAAGATAATGCCAACACCACAAATGGCAAGTCGAGGTTCAGAAAATGGCATTTCTTTTCGAATCATGCAGGAGGTCCTCTTCATTTTATTTATTCACAGGGCCTGAATCAACAGCTGCCCAGACAAAGATATTTAGAGAGAGCAAACACAAAGGAGCTGGTTCACCCTCGGCTCCAGATACAAACAGAGAAGAAAGAAGAAAATGTCAAATCTGCATAAACCCTGTATGGCTCCCTGGTGGGTATAAAAATACCTCTTTTGAATACCATGTTGTAATTCTAAAAAGTTGAAGTTAACCTTTACTTATTTTCAGCAAATATTTMCCTTCTAATCTTAATGTTATGTTTCACTTGCTAAAATTACAATAAAATCCCAAACCCATAACTCAATTCTGTTGTTCAGATCTCCATGCTATTTATTCAAAAAGATAAATGTTTTCTTGCCATATCTTTATTACAAAATACAGAATGCATAGTMTATTTTTCACTGGAAATATGTAGTGCAGAATGGCAAAATAATTGCTGGTGGAAAACTTCTAACAAGTGATTATAACTGATGAATCCTGATGAAGTAAATAAGACTGTGGCTAGAAAATAAGAAACAAATATAGGAAAAGATCATACTGYCCCAGAGGCAAAATGTGCTGCCTGGGTCACTTCTGCTTTCACAAGACTTCGTAAAGATACAAAATAGTTTTGTGTCAAAGAAATTATTCATACGGCCATTACTTGGCATAGGTTCCTTATCTTCGTGCTCTTCCATGTACACACAGAGATAACGGTTGGCTCTTCAGAGGACTTAGGCTGGAGCTCAGAGAGAAAGAGAGTATTGCACCTCTGGAAGGAGAGGCAGGTAACCTAAGGKGGACTACAAGGTCATTGTGAGGTTATTAGAGAGAAAATTAGAAGGCCCAAAGCCAAACTGGAATTAATTTGGCTTCTTCTCTTAAAGACAAAAAAAAAAGTTTGTCTAAATAGATTGGAGAGGCTGGATTGACAGGCTGAGGACAACTGGTGAGGTTCAATAAGGCAAAGTGCCAGGTCTGCATTGTGTCCCAACAACCCCGTGCAGCACTATGGGCTGGGGAAGAGTGGCTTGAGAGCTGCTCAACAGAAMGGGACTTAGGATTTTCTGGTACTAGCCAGGGTGTGCCCAGGTGGCAAAGAAGGCCAATGGCATCTTGGTCTGTGTCAGCAATGGTGTGGCCAGCAGGACCATGACGGGGATTGGGCATTGGGCACTGGTTCATTGGGCACTGGTGGGGCTCACATGGACTACCGGATTCAGTTCTGGACCCCTCAGGACAAGACAATGAGATGCTGGAGTGTGTCCAGAGAAGGGCAATGGAGATGGTGAAGGGTCKAGAAAACATGTTTTATGAGGAACATCTCAGTTCCTTATGGGGATGTTTAATGTGGAGAAAAGGAGGCTCAGGGGAGACCTTATTGCTTTCCATAAGTATCTGAAAGAAGGCTGCAATGAGTTGGGGGTTGGTCTCTTCCATCATGTTTCAAGTGAAAGAACAAGAGGAAATGGCCTTAAACTGCACCAGGGGAGATTGAGATTGAGTATTTTAAGAAAAAATTGTCACTGAAAGTGATTAAGCATTGGAATAATTTGCCCAGGGATGTGGTGGGGTCACCATCACTGGAAGTGCTCAAGMGGCCTCTGGGTGTGGCATTTAGGTGTGTGGTTTGGGAGTAAATATGGTGATGCTGGATTGATGGTCRGACTCAATGATCTTGAAGGTATCTTCCAATCTTGATGGTTCTGTGRTTCATATATCCATTCTATGGGCAGGTTTTGCAGCATCCATAACCCCTAATTCAACAGAAGGCAGCAGAACAAGAGCCAACAAAAAAAATTTCCTGTGGAAAGGATGATGCTTTGAGGAAGGAACCTGTTTATTTAGTGCAGCTAAAACTTATGGTCAGAAAACAGAAAACCCCTTGAGAGAAACAGAGTTCATCCATCAGCAGCTGGAGTCCTGACAGCTTTTCTGCTGCTACATGAATAGCAAATTACCTGTTGTCACCATCTGGATCCCAGTTCTTGGAGGAAGCCTGCTGGTCCCGGGAGAAGGTGGGCATTCATCATGATCATCCTCTTCCTGACACTCCCTGGGCCCCTCACAGACCAATGCTGGAGACAATTTCCCTGCACCTCTTGCTGAATATTGTCAGAACAAGCCTCTGGAACAGCTTAAATAGCAGCAACATGAGAAGGAAGCAACATAATTTGACAGATTTTTATTTTCAGATTTGAAATGGAACAGGTTCTTCCTACCTGCCTCTTTATCAAGAAAGCCCACCACTTTCTGGAGAAGCATTTTAAATGCAGAAATTTATTGCCTCTTTGAAACATGATCTGATAATAAACACAATTTTAGGAGGAAGGGAAAAAGGCTCACATTTAAAGCACAGAACCAGAAATAGCACTCTCTGCCTTCAGGATCTCACTGCTGCTCCCTTTGTGATGCAGTGAGCAGATGCAGAAGGCACTAACCACAGAATACTCAACTGTACAAGGGCAGCAATGTAAGAAAAGGTTTAGATGTGTTGTCTCACAGGATTGCCATTGCCTGATGAAGAACAAGTCATAGGATACCACCGGTGCAACTTCATTCGATTGCCCATGAGAAATAGAATAAGGCTGAAATCTGGGAAAAGAAAATTTCTGCCATTTCCAAACCCAAGCAGTGCAGGGGAAAGGCCAAGTCACATTCTCCTGCATTCAYGGTGCTCATATTATCTACTCATTATGCTTCCCAAAATACTGCTTCCCACAGCACTCTGCAATGCAGTCTACAAAAGAGGAAGTAATCTGGGCTGCACAGTTGACTTCAGCTCTGATAGAACACTTGTTTGTGTTATGTGCAATGTTCATGTTATTGTCAGTGTGCCAGTAAATGTCGTTGCTGTTTCTGGGAATATACCATGTCAGAAAATCATTTGGGGTAGGATTTTAATTTTCCATTGGCTGCAGCAGCAGCTGAATGCTTTCCTTGCCGCRTGTCAGCAGATCAGACAAGTCAGCCCTTCTGCTTCCTGTCAGCACGTGGAACAACAGCTTCCAGCCTCAGCACTTGCAGCTCTCCCATGCATGAGTTAAATCCGCATTTGTGTGTTATGGCCTGGTTTTGCCTGATCTGTGCAGCACTAGGATTCAGCTTTCAACAACAGTGACAGGAGCCCTCAGCATCCTGTCACAGCATTGCACTGTGAAATGGTTTTTTGGCAACTCCACATTTCAGGATGAGGAGTTCAACAGCCCAGTTCCCATGGAGTTAGAGGTGCTGGGTCAGTACCTCACTGAGCAAATCTGAAGACCCCACTGGACCAGACCCCAACCAAATCCAGGAYGGACAGACAGTCCCAGTTCCAGAAGCTTAAACCTAGAAAAACAACCCAGATGCCTGCCCACTTCACTTACCRGTTGAAATGTCCTGTGGGGAAAATTCCCTGGTATTACATCACTTTAAACAYTTCACATGTCAAACTCTCAGCTCCTTGTGCATAAAACCAACACAGCATAGTTCCTTCACCTGCGTGGGGTTGTGAAATTAATTATAAATGTATTTGAGCTCATTATCTGAGAGGAGCTATAGAAGTGTGACTTATTTTTAATAATGTATAAGTAATAATTTATTTAACATTTCTCTGTATTCCTCATCAGGTTCCTGAACCTGACTGCACTTTCCTGCTCTGTCTGCAAGTTCTCTCATAAAAGCTGACAAGTTTCAAACATTTTTGTTGATTTTTTTTTAGGGCAATGAGATACTGTGTAACAATCATTAAAGTTGTGGCACCTGTTCTGTTAAAAAATAGGATATCCAGCTTAAATGGAATCGTGTATGACAAGAAATAAAAGGAATCAAACAACTACTTTGTAAACACAATTTGTTAAACCMAATAACTAGAATTAGTCTTATTTGTCCGCTGTGAGTTTATGCTGTGATGTGGCACATTTGTTTCAAGGCTATGGAGTCCAGATGGAGTTAAATAGACAGGTCAAACATTGAATGCTGTGCACTGCTGTCTCTGCAGCATCAACCTGTGTTTCAAAATGACAGAAAAATAGCCACTGAACCACACAAAAGGAAAATATTTTTCCAGGAGAAAAGAAAGAAATAAAGAAATAAAGAAATATGCCCTCCCTATAATCTGCATTGCAGGGATACATGTCTGAAGCAAAGCAGGCAAATATTTGGAGGCTGAGGCTGCTGAAAGCTGGTGGGCTTTGCCAAGTCAAGCACAGAAAATCCCGAGTCAGCCTCGCTTCCAAGATCAGGCAACTGCAAATAGAAAGCARTTTGGATCCGTGATATTCTAGGTATTCTGGAGCTTTCAGTCTTCTGTAACACCAGGAAATATTCTGTAGATTTGGTTTCAAATGAAATCTGAGCTTGCTCTGTCATTGAGGGCAAAAGGCAGCYCCCTGGGAACACCAAGATACCATTGGATTTGTGGGAATCATGGCTTGCTACGCCTGGCACAAGAGCAGCAGAGACTGGGGGCTTTAAGTCCAGGTAAGGAGAAGTGTGTGTGCCATTCCTTGGGTTTAGCCTTCCTCGTGTTTAGCCTTCCTCATGAAGATGCACTCACTAGGGCTGCTTATTTCTCCATTATTTTTTCCTTGCAGCACCCACAGTAGCTACAAATCTGCAGGTTTTAAGGGAAGTAGCACCAGAAGAAAGAAGTAGCTAAAAAAGGTTTCTGTTCCTGGGACACATGTATTCAAACTGCTGCTTGCAAGAAGGGTATCTTCTTCAAGAAGGATATCACTATCTTCTTCAAAAAGACTTTGAAGCAGAAAGACACCTTATGTTCAGCCCCTCCATTAATGCTCTGGTTAAACAGGGAAAAAGAACAAGGAGAGGAGGATAAAGGAGCACAGCCAAACTTTGTGAGATTACTCAAGTGGTGTGAGAAGCTGTTCAAACAAATTACTTATTGAGGCTGATATAACATGGCAGATCTGTTAAGAAAATTATTGTTGTACAAATAGATTGTATGAAAGGATAATGCTTTTGAAAATACTTTTTTAGCAAGGCTTTGAAGCTCACAAACTGTTAGAGCACAACTGCATGCTGGAAATAGGAAAAGCAAACTGCTGACTGCCTGGAGTACTGAAGGTTGCACTGGAACTCACTGGAAAGTTTTTTAATTTATTTACTAGTAGGAACAAAGCAATGGACAGAGTTCTGTTCAGCTTTCAACTGGGGAGGGATATTTTATTTTTGATGGACTCAGGGAAGGTATCATTTCTGTCACTAAATCTCCAGTTTAAATATTTGGACTTGCTCCTTCTGCCTTTTCTCCATGCTCCCAAGAGGACTGCAACCACCTTTCTCTGTTTCTATGCTCTTGCTTGCCTTCACCCATTAACAGGCACTTCTTACACAGCTCAGGAAGCACCATGCTGTATTACTCAAGGAATACAGCCTTTCACAGCTGGTTCCTGAATAGCAACCTGAAAACAAATGATAAAAAAAAAAAAAAAAAAAAAAAAAAAAAAAAAAAAAAAAAAAAAAAAAGGAAGAGGAGAAACAGCCTAGAAAAAAAATTGCAGCAAAAAAGAAAAGAGCAGCTGTTGCCTTAAGAGTATTTTTCTTCCCCATAAGTGTAATCAGAGCTGCAACTCTGTGTTCCCTGGCCGTCTCCAGACACCGGTAACTAAAGCCGGGCATACAACCCTGCCATTGGCTCTGCCAGGGGTGGCAGAGGACTAAGCAAGGGTCAAAAGTTTATGAGAGGCTGTGGCTGTGCTGACACGTGGAGGGGAGCATGTTTCCACAGCACACACGGCACTACATGCGTTTGAAAGGTCACTGCAGCGGCAGGCTGAGCGCCAGCCCGGTGGGAAAGATGCTGAGTGGGAGCAGCGCTGGAAGGSGAGAGCGGAAAAGTGGCGTGCAGGGAGACCAGATGGGACTGCTGTGGGAAAGGAGCTGTGGGAGAGGGGAAGACAGGGAGGTGGAACATGGAGAGCAGAGGCAATAATGGCAGAGGAGCATCACAGGCTGGGCTGACAACAGACTGGTCTCACACTGGCAGATGTCGCACCTGGCAGGGCTGAGCAGGAGACTCGGTTGTTCCCCCAAGACTGGGAAAAGGTCAGTAGCACAGAGATTATCCTACTAACTGTATTTCTTAAGTAATTGCTTTTTGTCTGCAATCATTTTGGGAAGGAATAAAGAGAGCATGATGCAGGGAAGCAAGCTGCACAGTAGCTGCTGTGAGGAGGGAATCACTGCTCTCTGCTGCTTTTGTGTCCAGAGAGAAACACCCCATACCAAACAGAGTATCTGTTTAAATGCTAAGACAAAACCAGGCAGCTGGAGCTCGACTGTCTGCAGCAGCCCACAGGCTGTGAGCTCCAGGAGACATTTCCAGCTGTGCCAGACACTCTCTTCACACATAAAAACCTGGCAAYAAAAGCTTTTGACACCAATGTTTGCAATGCTGAGATGAAGACAAGATGCATTTGGGGAGACATCCCCCTCTCCTCTAAAGAGACAATACAGAAATGCTCAGTTTTATCCCACCCTTGGTTTTTACACTTCCTTACCRCCAAGAAAATGCAGTGCAGGCTAGAAGTGCCAGCTCATGACACTGACATCACCCTTTCTTTGTGCATTAAGTCTTAAATATAAGAGACTTGTAGAAGAATCAAAGTCTTCACTATGTTGAAATGAATTTCAGTCTCACCTTCAGCTTCATTTCCTGTGGTATTAAATAATTCTTCTTACTAATACCAATGTTATTAGTAACCCCAAAAGGGACAATGGAAGGCAGAATCGCCATTATCTGAATCTAAGAGAAGAAAAGGAAGATTARTTACAGTCCTGATTGATCTGAGTGTTGCTGTTTCATAGCTAGCAGGCTCCATCCGTGCGTAATTGCCTCCAGCATGGAAGAGCCCTTGACTCAGCTGAGCCGGTACTCCCTGTGCTGGGTACTGTCTGAGACAGTCCTTGTCCTCATGAGTCATCTGAGTGGATAGAACAGTTCAGAAAGGCAGGGAACAAGCAGATCCCTGAGCGTCAGTACTAGACAGGCCTTATTTCCCAAGGATATTTTTTCCTAATGTGATTGGWTTTTTGTCACCTTCTACAAGGTGACCTTGTAGATGAAAGGACATACACGTTTGTAAAGCCGTTACAAAAAAAAACCTCTGAAGAGGCTAACAGCTAACTTCATGGATACCAAAAGTAGTATTTGCAGAGCAGACCACCAGTCACAGAAGGCAGAGTGCTCAACTCTTTCAGTTAAAAAACACTAAATTTGAAGGAAAAGTGACCCAATGCCCGCCCCCAAACACAAACTCCAAATCTTCTTCAGCTCTGAGGAATCTATCACCCACTGAAAACYGATCTTTTAATCTTTACTTTGCCCAAGTACAGGAGGATAATTTTAGAGTTGCTGAAAGTGCAGAAAATACAATATCAGACTAAGACAAAAGCACTGGAATTTGGTGATAATTAATTTTACACTTAGTCATTTCTATGAGCTTCCTTTGCAGAAACGATGTGGGCCACAACTGGAAAAAGGAATCACTTCCATAATAATTTGTAATTATAATTTGTTATAAGTATATCTTTACATTAAAAAATATAACAAAATATGATTTGTTGTAAATACTCTGAGACAGGAACCTGTGTCACACCCATGCAGCCCAAAAAGGCCACTGGGGTCTTGAACGCTTGCAGCATTCATGGTGATTCTTAGGGTAAAATATGATACACCAGAATGAGTGCATGGTAAATTTTCTTGGCCGGCCATTATTAAATATCTAAACCCAAAGAACATCTGCTTTCTGACATTTTTACWCCAGGCAAGTCCCTTTCTTTTTGTGAGACCATTTTGAGATTTTTGAATGATGAGAACAATTAAATATCACTTTCTGTACCTTTKTAAGGACAAGGGGTGCAGCCTGTAGTTCACAGATCCCATGACATTGTAGTCTTAGTGATTTTCTGTATATCTCAATTTCTCTACCTGTGAAACAGAGCTGAATATATTTGTGTCCATGTGGAAATTCAATGTCTTTACATTGAAAGTACTTAAGAGATTTTTCAAGCAAGCCTTTTAACTAGGATTTTTTAAATAAAATTTTTAAAAACGTAAAATAAAATGAAATAAACCAAATCCTCAGCTTCCTTTTGTCAGCATGTCATGTTTAATCATGAAGCATCAGCAGCATTTTACCATACTTACATAACAATGTGTTTATTAATTTATCCAGCAGGCTAACTCATGTTCCCACTGAGGAATACATAATCCTTAGCTATTATTTAGAACCTTTCATCCACAGATGTCAAAGTACGTTACAAATGCTGCAGCGCCTTTTGTCAATGCATAACTTCTATTAACATCAGTGGAAAAAGAATTAAGCCAAACAAGTTTCCTTGAAATAAATATTTATTAAGAAATTACCTTGTTTGTTCCACCTCACTGTCTTTCAAACGTGTCATCATAGAATTCACTATTTACCCAGGGGCAGTGACTCATGYCTGCTCCAAAGGAGAGCTCTCGGAGGCCAGCAGTCATTCTGTCAGAGGCCAGGGAGCTCTGGAGGAGGGACTGTATCCCCTGCCCATCTCCACTGACCGCAGCCCACACGGCAAACAAAAGCACAGACGTAAATTAATCACACAATTGCATTAGTGCCCTCTGAACCAGCACACTCAGCTAGTCCTCCACTGAACTCTGCTGGACTGAAAAGACCTTCAGCTGGATTATGCTTAAGCAAAAGCATTAGCACTGAGTGCAGAGCGGTACTCTGTTCCCTCCCACACGGGCTCTCGTTAACCTAACATTGCTGCAGAGCCTTTGCTGTGATGGCAGTGCCTGTGAATGCTGCGAGATTAAACAGTTTGGCGTTCTTATGCCTTCTTTTAGGTCAGTGTCTGACAGCCAACAGACAGCCCAGGGGCTGGGAGGACAGGTCAGTGGTGAGCAGCTAACCCAGCAGCACCAATGCCCTCCCCCAGAGCATCATCAACCCACTGCAATCGCTTGGTGCTGCTATTTCTGCCCAGCAGGTGCAAATGCACCTCGCAGCCTCCTGTAGCCCAGAGGATTATCCTCCTGYCCTGCCTTGGTGTCAGGATGAGGGCAGCTGGCCCTCAGGTACTCTGTTGGGAATTCCCACCAGGAATTTTTGCTGTTACCTTCCCCGGATTCAAGATCCAACTAGCTTTACATACATGGGCTCTGCTGAGGTGCTGTGGGACTCTGAAACACCTCCCAACAGAATTCCTGCTGGAATAGGCTGAGGAGGGGAATCCTCCAAGGCAGAAAGGTTGAGAAGGGATGACAGAAATCTGATTTTCACCCCTGAAGGGCATTTCTTTGTAACCTGAGATTAGTGCCTATGCAAACCTGGTATTCAAAGCTCAGCATCCACCTTGGACTTAAACATCTGAGCCATCTTTTTCAGAAAAGGCAGTGGACTTGTTKTTTTTTAAAGCACAGACAATACTAAAATTGTCACTACAATCTGTATAAAATGAGTACGATTTCTCCCCATTCTTCACTCAGCAACACTGCTACTGATTTGAAATTAAATCAATCTAAATTTTATCCTGCCCTCAGGACAGCAGTTATCTGCACTAGCTATGCCAGGCAGTGGTTCATGGGGATTAAACTGAGCGATTCTGATTTCTAATCCAAGTGCAGAAGTGAGATAAGCATGCAGATGTCCAGCCATGTACCGAGGAAGCTATTTTAAGCATGGGCAGCAGCMGAACTTAGCAGCAGCTAGAACTTAGGGGCTTGTGACTTTTGAGTGCACAGCACACAAACAATGGTTATAGGGCTCCTGAACTTGAACGCTGCTGTCATTGCAAGAATATGGACTGGATCACTGGGCTACAGCTCAGTAATGCCGACTCAAGRAGCTCAGCCCAGGTGCAAAGCACAGAGCTGTCTTTTTGAGCCATACTGAATCACTGAAGTCTCTGCATAGTTTACTTGATGGAGCAAGAATTCTGTTTAATGATAGTTTTTTTGCAAGATCTCTATTGCGAAGGGAAGACAGATCTCTTCAGTCCTCAAGTGTGTCTGGTTGTTCGCCACAGCAGAATGAGATTTAATTAAATTCTAAAACTTTCTTTGCACTACAAATGTTGAAGATGTTGTCTGTTATTCAAATGCTTTCGATCCCCWTTTCAGTACAGTTTCAGCCTAAATCAATATTGACCTAAAAAAGGTGGCTTATTTCAGCATCAGTTTATCTGTTTATTAATAGATAAACTGATAACTGGGGCAAGCAAATGTAACTCCAGTGAGACCAACACCGTTGATTTCACGYGTGATATTCAGTGCTGCCTTTGAAAGATTTTAAAGCAGTGTAACTGGGCCTCTGGAGCTTGCCAGCTCTTATTAACCTTGATCAGCAGGCAGGCAGGCAGGCAGAACTAAGAGGCCCTCATGATTCAACGTGGCAGAATCTGACCTCTGTGTTTGCCTCCTGTGCAAATTCATGCAGAACAAATWAACGCTTAAATGCTGCATCTCCACTAGAGACGTGGAATTCCAAACACAGCCAATTCTCCCGGAGCTGCTCCCACAGCCCAAAGCCCAGAGCGGGACCATGCACACCAAAAATGCAAACCCCACCTCGGCCCCCTGGGTCTGTAGGAAACTTTTGGTCAATGGGCACTGATTGATTTCATGGAATCCTGTACGGATCCGGAAGCAAGAGGGATTTCTCCTGCTGCCCACAGCGCTGCGGAYGAGAAGCTGCCACCCCTCCCCAGGCCAGAAAGGACGCTCGTCTGTAGCTGCAGGACAGCAGAGCTGGGCACACATGGGTGTCAGGGGCTTTGTGAGGGGCACACGGTGGTTCCAGGAGGGAGRAGGGAGAAGGGATGCACAGGGCAGGGGACGCGCAAAGCATCGCGTGGTCGCTTCGCAGGGAGGGCAGGGGACGAGCACAGGGAGCGCCCCACACCATCCCCGCCATCCATCCCGCAGGGCATCCAGAGGGGCTGCCTGGAATGGCTGGCGTCTGGAAAGGAGGGCATTAAGCACCGTGAGTTAATTATCGGGCCCAGCGGCACAGGCTGCCCGCCCTCCCTCCCTCCCTCCCGCCGCGGCACCTGCAGCCGTGGGGCGCGCAGCGGTTACGCAACCACAGCAGCAGCACCCGCCGCAGCACGGGAGCCCTGCCGGCCCTGGCAAACCTCCAGAGACAGCTGAAATAAAACAAAATAGAAAACTGACTCCCTGGGATTCAGTCCTTGACTTGTCCTAAAATAAACAATCCTCTAAGGCTCACAAATCACACGTTAGAAAAGCCCCCGCCGACCAAAAAAAGCATWTATTTGTCTCCCTCAAATTCTCCACTATGCTTTCAACAACTAAAACCTGGAATAAATTTTCACAGCTTCTCTTTGGTGAACAACAAATCCCTTCCTAAAACTTGTATAAACATAGAATGGCATAGAATAGAAACACAGAAACATAGAATATGCTTTTTAGAAAAAAAAATTAAAAATTATTATTAATGTTTTCTTCTGCATTATATTTCATAGGATATTATCATATAAAATTTAGTCCCATATAAAACTGTGGCATTTCGTACTTACCTCTAGGATGTGCCTGCTTATTTTAAATCAACATACTGGTTTTTAGGTTTAAATGTTACAGTGGGAGCTGAAGTTTACTTTGATCAACTGATTTTTCTGACTGATTCTATTACTGCTCCAGATTGACCTGAAGATTAAGAAATAATATGTAATTGTATTTCTAGAACTGAGAAACATCTTTTCTCTTCACACAATTTTTAATATTTTAAACAGAAAGGCATAAACCTGTAGTTTTTTTCTAATTAATCTTTGTTTCTGCTACATATATTTTAATTTTGAAACATGTCAGAGAGATGATCCTAAACTATAAACAGAGAGAAAAATAYCTTGTTTTTCTTTAATTAAGAACATTTTTGGAAGCATTTATATAATGGTAATGCCAAGAATTCCACACTTGTACTTGAGGATACCAGATGCTGCACAAATARCAAGGTAGAATCAACCCCCGTAGAGAAAATAGATTTAAAAAATAGGGCTTATTAAGAAGCAGGAGGGGCATGGAGTTGTTTTTGAAATTGTGACCTTCCCACTTGCCAACATGCCTCACTTTTTCCATCCCTAAGGGTGTGACTGTGGCTCCCAATCAGCTCAGGTTTTGGGGAGTATCAACACCTGCATTGTGAGCCTTTGCAAAGGCAGGAATATGTGTAGAAAATTCAGAGTCACAGATGAAAAATGGGACAAGYTGGGTAATATATTCACAATCTGTGGTACAAATAGAAAAGACAGAAGACCACATCTAAATTTTCTGCCTGAATATGACCGTGGGTGAGCATTTGGCTCACGTTTAAATGCAGTACCATCAGCTTTCTTCTTCCTCCCCCTCCTCCTCCTCCTTCTCCTCAGGTAAAAGCTATTAGCTGGTGCTGCTGGTTGTCTGTGCTGCCCGCACAGCCCAGTCTGTGGCCTCCATGCCATCAGGCTGTCCTTCACTTCTTTTCACCACATGTTTGCATTGCAGCCCTCCTGCCTCCTGGAATGTGCCGGTGGGCTGGAGTACCCACACAGAGCCAGCAGATAAAACATGGGACCTCTGGGAGACCAAGGGACATCCTCCAAATCATCATGCCCGATAAGGGGGCCCTGAATTTGGGCTACTGTCTTGAAACAGCTGTGCAATTTCCTGCTCTTTCTGATCCAGATGCTATGTTTTATCCAGAGGCGGCTGCAGCTTGATATTGGATGGACTGAATCCCAGTATCTCACATAGACAAGCATCTGCCAAACCCTTCTTCCTCATTTAATTGCAGCCCTCCACAAATGGGCCTAATCCTACAAACAGTGACTGCATTGGAAAGGAGCGGTGAGTACTCAGTGGGTCCTTGGCTCAGGCACAGAACCTGTGTCACTCAGGTACCTGAGTTGGTATCTCTGTTTGAAAATCAGTCTCCAATTTCCAMAGAGACAATTGTTAGAAACACTTGTTTATTGATTATTCTCTTACTTTATCTTACATTCTTAGCATCTCCTAATTATCTCATGGTATATTTATTTATTTCATTTTGTTTTAGTTGTAAGTGCAATTAGCAGCAAAGCTGCTAACAACACCTTAATGTTTCTGTAGATATTGGAAAGAATAAAATGATCTCCAGTTGTAAAGAAATCCTGGCTCCACTGATGTATCGGCTGCTACAGATTGCAATATATGTAACTTGCCAAGAGAATGATTAACTTAATTTTTTAAAATTACTAATTCTAGCATGGGTCAGAGCTGTCCTGCCTSATTGTAGCCCATTGCTTTCCATCAGAGGACACTGATGCTTATAGGGGACACTACTTTCTGTCTGTCCAAACCTTTTCATATCTGGGTTTCAAAGCAACCAATCTGCAAGAGCAGTCCAGAGTTGAGAAATCCAAGTGYTCTGCACATGAGGTAAAAAATGCGAGTGGGGTTAGAAAATCTAGTCTGGGATGATCAGGCAAATATTTCAGATCCAGTTGCATCTGTATATAGAGCTGTACCACAAATGCAAATAACTTCAAAGTGAGTTATAGTTCATTGCATAATAATTACATTTGCACAGTGATGAATAAGGGTATGTTTTCTAATGATAGCTTTTGTCATGGTTTTACCCCAGCTGGCAACCAAACCCCATACAGATGCTAMATTCACTCTACCACCAGCAGGATCAGGAAGAGAACTGGAAGGCTGGAAAACTCATGGGTTGAGATAATGACAGTTTAATAGGGAAAGCAAAAGCCACMCACACAAAGCAAAATAAGGAATTCATTCACTGCTYCCCATGGRCAGGCAGGTGTTCAGCCATCTCCACAAGAGCAGGGCCCCATCACTGGTAATGGTGACTTGGGAAGACAAACACCATCACTCCAAATGTGTCCCCCTCCATCCTTCTTCCCCAACTTTATATACTGAGCATGATGCCATATGGTTTGGAATATCCCTTTGGTCAGTTTGGGTCAYCTGTCCTGGCTGTGTTTCCTCCCAACTTCTTTGCCAGCATGGCAGTAGGAAAGCAGAAAAGGCCTTGGCTCTGTGTGAGCCCTACTCAGCAATAACAAAACCTTCTCTGTATTATCAACACTGTGTTCAACCAAATCCAGAACACAGCTCCATGTTAACTGCTGTAAAGAAGATTAACTCTACCCCAGCCAAAACCAGAACTTTGCACCCCTTATTCCATACCATTTACATCACGCTCAGGCACCACACTATTCAATACAACTCCAATACAACCACCCCCACCCTTGCCATTCTTTGATAATCGACAATTTTGACTTCTCAGCAGTTCCCATAAGATTACTGTGAATTTCCTCAACAGAGGATAAAGTCAGGTGGAGACACAGACCACAACTGATATTCATTAGAGCATCTTTTGTCAATCAAGCTGTTATGCTGAGTGAAATTTGGCTGTTATTATGGAGACCAGACAGCCATCAGTGAGGACATTCAGTACTCCTTTGGGTACTCAGACATGCTCCCAGTTACCTGCTTGGAGCAACATCTGYTTCCTCAGACATTGGTAGTGTTGCCAGTCATGGTAAGAAGCATTCCTATGTACTTGTCCACAGAGTGTCAGTGTTTTCAGATGTTGGGCAAATTAAGGTTGCCGTGTATGAGGAAGTGGACATCACGTTCCTCCTGTAATCTCTGTATTTCCTTGATTTTGCCTGCCTAAAATCAAAATCCTTCTGTTTTCCTAATTGAAAGAGTGTATTTTGGCAGGAAATGTAAATTGCATTTTTGTCTTTGGTTGGACAGTCTTAAAATAACTGTCAGCCTTAGTTCTTTCTGAGACTGGATAGCGTGGTATTTATAGTAGAACTGATTTGATGGGCTAAGACTGAGAAATTAGAATCTCTATTACATTTCAAAATATTACAGTAGGATTCTGAGATGCTGCCATGGAGACTGCATCATTACTCTGCTTTACATGCGCATTCAGTCACTAGGTCTCCTCAGGCTTTCAGAGCAATTCTGCCACAAACCTCTTCCAGCTTACAACTATGAAGCTTCAATTCCTTCTCCAATGTAAAATAGTCACCAGAGCCATTGCAGTAGCCCAACATCAGCTTTCCAATGGCTCCCCATCTTCRTTTTTCCTGGGATCCAAACCTGGTGGTCATGATTAGAAAAATACCGCCTTCCTTTCATGACCTCCAGAGCATAAAACGAGGGCTGGCAGCCAGGGCTGCACAGCGAAGCATGCACACAGCCTCAAGAGGCAAATACATGGGGTCTGACAACAGCAGGAGCACCCTTTTTTTGTACTTTCCAATCTCGCCACAATTTCACCACAGCATCCAGACTGAAATTTTACAGAGTCTGGAAATAACTTCATGTGATAAGGGCAGGTACAATCTTGTCTGGTACCTATCTGAATAACATTTACCCTTTATTTCTGGTGAGGTCTTACACACCATCAAACAAGAATAAGACATAACATAAAAGCATACAACCCAGAAGTCACCAAACTACAAAACTATACAATAATCYAAATCAATGAGATTGTGGCTCTAATACTGCTGGTGACCTCCACAGTGATTGGGTTAATCACCTAGAGCTCATTATCTCAATGAGTTTCCCAAGCTTCTTATTTTTGAAAGAAGCTGTTTTGCCCTATTCATCTAGTTTTCACAAAATTTATTTTCTTCTAACTAAGAAGTTAGTGCAAAGCTCTCAATACCTGTGGACAGCCACAAAGCTTGTGGTTTTATACCTGCCATTTGAATATTTTGGAGAGGACTGTAACTGCCTGAATCAGTGGGAATGGCCTGGCCCACCCTGCAGTAAGCTCAGGCTTCCCACACTCACTGCTGGGCTGTTTTTGAAGCACTCGGCTCTGCATYAGCTCTCAGCAGCCCAACATGAGTTTCTAATGCAATGGCAGTGGAGGTGCCCTTAAGAAAACCCTTGCCTCAAGCTGGCACAAAAAATAGCAATTTGCTATTAAATGAAGATGCTCCAGAGCATGGGTCACTTGCCTAACTGCAGGTAACAGAGAGGATTTAATAACTGCACYGGTTGTGTCCTGAGCATCCAATATACGTCTCGGTGGTGGGGAGAGGCAATGCTGTGTCAGTTGCTCTCAAGCTGTGTCACTTTGTGTCACACAGCACATGCTGATGTGACCTGACGTGGCWGGTAATAAGATCTGTGCCAAGTTACTGAATAGAAGGAGATTACTTTGAACGCTGCTGTCACATTAC